TAGAGATAGATATATAGATAGAGATATAGATAGAGATATAGATAGAGATATAGATAGAGATAGATAGAGATATAGATATAGATAGAGATATAGATAGAGACATAGATAGAGATATAGATAGATATATATATATATATACATATAGTTAGATATATATATATAGATAGAGATTTAGATAGAGATATAGATAGAGATATAGATAGAGATATAGATTTAGATATTAATTTAGATATAGATAGACAGATAAGATAATTTAAGATAAGATAGATACATTTATATACCTGTTCCCTTTGTTTGGCGTTGAGGTCGGATTGTACGCGTCCCTGTGGTGGCGGCCTTCGTACACGAAAGCGGGTCATTGAGGCTCAAGGGCGATACTTTATGATACTTCAATCTTTTTGGATGTAAGTTGAATGATGTCCAGAGATGCTGTGGAGGAACACGTGATTTTTCATCAGAACCACTGCATTCAATTGAGCCCCTTGGCAAGGTCACACAAAAATGAGAGCTTTGTCTCCCCATTTTGTCGTGCGTCTGCCATGCTTCGTGCCACCTCTTGCCAGGTTGAAGCCAGAAACGGTGGGTATCCATTTTGTGGAGCTTTGAAGGTGTTCGGATCCGAGCCGATCCGCATGCTCGCAGGCACAGTCCCTTTTCAAGTCTTTTTAAAGGGTGACCATGGCTATCCATGGGGAAAGTAAAGGACGGTAAAATCTACGGTTCAACTAAGTACAGGTGCCTTGTGTAGTCCACCTTTGCTGACCTCGTGCAATCTGATTTGTTTTTGCGACGGATGCATACTATCCAGCATACATATTCCAGGCCGCTTGCATCTTCAAGCATGGTTTTTCCAGGGGAAGTAGTCTACACGAACATTAGTTACATGAATATGGTACATCATGATGGACATGTACTTAGTATTTTTCAATATTCTCTTTACCAAGGTTGGAGCCATGCAACGTGGAGACTTGTGGCACCGGAGATGGAAAGATAGGCGCTGCTGATTTATTCTGAACTTCGATATCGACATATGTATTATAAGTTATATTATCGAAGGTCTTTAAAAAGAATCATGGCTTGCTTCAAAGGGGGGGTCTTCAATGATAGAGGGGAGGTCATGGAAGCTATTTAGCCCTAGAAAAAGCTAATCTTTTCCATGCATGCTCAGAGACAGAATTGCTTGGGCCAGCAGCTACATTTTGGCCCAAAAACTCGACCCCAAACAGGGGGAATATGCCTTCGCATAAGAAGAAGAGGATCCCTGGGAAGTCTTCACTCCCAGCTGACTATGCTCATCCTATGGGGATGGGGCCCATGGGATACCCCCACCCTGGCTTCTGGATGCAGCCTGGGTTCTTTGGCTTTCAAGGGTTGCTTCACACTTGACAGAAATTCAAGTCATGATTCAAAGAAACCACTTCTTCAGTTCTGATTTGCTGAAATGGTATTTGAGAACAATGTACATGTTTAACATTTGAACCTTGTTGGCTCCTCAGGGCCAATGCAGTGGAAAGTGAGTCTGAGGAGGAGGAGGAGAGTGAAAAGAACCTTTGGCAACCCACAGAGGTGACTTCATAACAAATTGAAATAATTGTCACAACATTTCAACTGATGATTCTGGCTGAATACCATGTAAAAAATGACTACAGACTTGTGGGCAGAGTGCAGACTGTTTACCAAAAAACATGCATTAGATCAGATGTCACAGTGTCTGAAGATGATTGCACTTATTATGCCAGAAATAAGTAGGACTAGCTAAGGAAGCCTAAGAAGGAAAAGAAAAGCAAACAGAAGAGTCGAAGAAAGTCAACTGGGAAGAAGCCCAAAAGCAAAAGAAAGAGAAGTCACTAGTTTGAAATTAGGGCCCAGGGCCAGTTCAGTTTAGATATTGCATGCCATGTTGTTTTCATTGGACTTTCATTGCCACAGCCAACCCTACTTGGGTGCCTGCCTTGCTTGCTCAGGCCCAAGCACATCTTCCTCTAGTGAGAGCAGTGATGGCTGTTCTGATGCAGAGTTGGATGAGAAGCCCCTGAAGCAGCCCCATGGCTGGGCATGGCTGCATGGGGGTTGGGGGACATATATAATTGGCAGCTGCATCAATTAAATCCAGAGATGTTTGATCATGTTTCATGACTGGGGGGCTTGGTGGACATATATAATTGGCAGCTGCATCAATTAAATCCAAAGATGTTTGATCATGTTTCATGAATGTGAAAAGCTTTGGTGCCAATTCAATTCATCCCTTTCTGAGGCATTGGATTTATTTGGGGCCTGCTTGTGGGCCTGATTCTGTTGGGAAAGTGCTCCAGAGGAAAAATTCATTGCCTAGGCTGCAGACTTAATTTGACTTTGCTTGGCAGTATTATTGTGCTGTCTTGTTTTCAGACAAACAATCCACTGCAACTGAATTGCAAATTATCCACTTCAATTTACTTTGGGTCATTCATGCAATTGTCATGCCATCATATGGGTTTGATATTATATGATAATAAATTTCTAAGGGCAGAGAGGGTCAGGCAGATCAAGCACTTCAATGAAGACAGGCTGACACCTGGCAACTTGCCTGGTGAGTTTTGCAATGGGACAAGATGAAATGGGTTTGCCACTGAGTCACTGAGTCATCATTCTTTGCCATTATTTGCCATTGTTAGGGTTTTAAGTGTTTGTGATGAGCAGTTTGGATTTGCTGATTGCTGTATTAATATGTTTGGTTGATTCATGAAGGGGCCTAGCTGCTGGCTTGAGGTAATCTGTCTGGCCTTGATGATGTTCAATTGGAGATGATCCACTACATTTGCACAGGGCTGTTCCCCAGAACATCAATCAAAGACCTTTGTGTTCGAACTAGGGGTGATTTGTGGCTTGCTTGCAGGTGCATTGACGACATGTTTGATGCACATGCACAGTGCTATTGTTTGTAATGTAATACACTGTAGTGGTATTTCTTGGTGCAGGGGGGGTGCCCCTTGTGAGGAGAGATGTGCTCAAACATGCTTGGAACAGGAAGCAAAAGGACTCAGGGAATGACAGGCTTGCAACCCTAGCTGCCTCTTGGCTGGGCCAACCTTTGATGTGAGACATTCACTTGAAGGAGTTTGTTGTTACAATAATGATAGACATTTCATGAATGTTGTATGTGTTTCTGTACAGCTGGGATTTGGGTCAGATCTCAGATCTCTCTTCAAGGATGACATGGGCAATGTGGAGGAAGTGGCTGTAGCTTTGGGATGGACAAAGCAGTTTCAGCAAAAGAAAAGGCCAGGTCATACAACTGTTAGTCAATTTACAGCATGAAAATGTATATTATTGAATTGTAAAGTAGGTAATTACTTCTTCTTGTGTGGGTTGCTGCATGCCCATGAATGTTTCTGTAGGCCTGGCCAGATGGACCCTGAAGTGAACTTGAGCCAGCTCCCACCCTACTCAGCTACCAAACTGCCACTGGGTTCCTTATTTACCATAATTGGTTGTTTCAGTTCACACACCATGGTCAGTTTCTGCTGGCTGTTTGAAGTTTGGGTACAACTGGATACAGAATGCAACCCAACTTGGTTGACCAATGGGTGCTTTGGTGGCCTTGAGGATGGATGGCAGCATCAATGTGTCCAACAAGGACAAGAGCACTGTCCTAATGCTTGGGCCTCCTTTGTCACCTGCAACATTCATCTACAGGGACCAGGTGTACCACATGTGCATGCCAGCCACTGACAAGTATGCTGAGATACTTGTTTTGGGTTTGGCATGGGCTAGGATCATCCATGACATTTAGTGTGTGCACTCCCATGGCAACATCTTCATGCAAACATCAATAGTAATAGTATGATATAATTTATGAACACCCATGGAACAATACTCATGATGTCATACATTTATTTTGTTTCAATCAGCTGAGGAAGACTATGCCAATCACACAGATCTTTGAGAGCCCCAATGGTGTGCAGAAGTGGTATGGACTAGTTGCATTTGGCTTGCACTACCATTCCAAAGCCACCCATATGGTATGCACACATGAATTTGCAATTGGTTGTTGCATATGGCCATGCAGCACCCAGGCAGAATGTGCTGTGCTTTGTGACAGTCAGCCCTGGGCACAAAAGTACATTGAAAGTTCCACCCGCCTCTTGGTGGTGTATGTCCTGGTGGGGGGGCTATGTCTTGGCATGTGGTGTATGGCATCTTTGATTTCTGTGTGTATTATATATGTGCATTGGTGTGCCATGCCAAGGCAAGGGTGAAAAGCACTGGCAGTACCTCCAAATCCAGAACCTGAAGCAGCAAGTGCCAGGCAACATTCTGTTTGACTTTGATGCTTGTTTGGTATTGAGATGGCACCCCTCAGCCTAAAATAATGAAGTTGTTATGACTAGTGTTTCTGTTTCTGCATTTTCATGTGCATGGCTTTTGTTGCCCCACCAGCTGCTGGGCAGGCATGCCACCTCCTCCAGTTGCTCTTCCCCAAGTTCCATCAGCACCTCCACAGTCTGATGCTGGAAGCATGTCTTCCTATGATACCAGTGCAGCTTATTTGAACCTTGGGGCATGTGGGGATGGGGTCAGGCATAGTGATGGGCATGGGCAGTATGGATCATTGGCAATGGGCACCACAATGAAAGTTGAGTGAAAGATGTTTTGTTTGTGGGGTTACCCTGGCCTGGCTTTCCACATGTGTTTTGCCAATGCACCCCTGCCTTTTGAGGCAGCTACTGGGCAGTGGCTTGGCAAGAGCTGGGGCTGGGTGGTGGTCTCTGTTTGGTGCATGATGTTTTTGTTTGTTTAGTTATTGAACCAAAAAAACCCATTGCCATCATTTGTAGAAGTGTTTGGGTTGAATGGCAGCAAGGTGGTGAAGAGTTTGGCACCAATCACATGGAATGGGCTTCTGGTTTTGATAGTTAGTAACTAAGTAGCTTGGTGGGTGCTGGGAGGGGTTGTAGGTTTGATGCCATATTTCATATTTGCATATGCAAAGCCATGTCATGGTGTTTTGCCATGCAGCTTCAACCCAAGGCAGCCAGGTTTCCTTGGGCACAAGGAGTTGCAAGCACAGCAGCCACCAGCAAGAGAACTGAGCCAGGCAGAGTTGGCATGGGGAGCAGCAAGGGGGTACAACTTTGCAGCCACAAGCCAGCAGCCACAGCAGCTTGGGCAACAGCAATGCAAAGGCATGCAGCAACAGCAGCAAAGTATGGTGGCAGAGCAAGCATGGCAGCACCAACCAACTTGCCCACCCCAACAGTGCCCAGTACCAGGTCAGCCACAACCATGCCAAACACCACAGCATGCACAAGGCATGGTGCTGCACCAGCCAGCAGGCATGGCAAACATGCACCAGCAAGGCCAGCAGCCACAGCAGTGTGGCACACCACAGCAGAGCCAGCCAACACCAGCAATGCACCAGCAACTGCCATGTCAAACACCAGAGGGCACAGGTATGGGGCAGCAAGGGTTGCAGCACCAGCAAGCACCAGCAATGATGGCACACCAGCAACAGATGGCAAACACCAGCCAGGCACAACATGGGCAGCAGCAGCACCAGCAACTGCCAGGTCATACACAGCAGCTTCCACAAAGCCTGGGGCAGCAGCAAGGGCACCAACAAGCACCACACCTGCCACAACAGGTACAGCCAGGGGCAAGCACACAAGTGCAAGGCCAGCAGATGCAAGCACCACAAATGGGTGCAAACACACAGCAAATCCAAGGCCTGCAGATGCAGGCAGCACAGCCTGGGGCAAACACACAGCAAATGCAAGGCCAGCAGCAGATGCAGGCAGCACAGCCTGGGGCAAACACACAGCAAATGCAAGGCCAGCAGCAGATGCAGGCAACACAGCCTGGGGCACACACACAAATGCAAGGCCAGCAGATGCAGGCCCAGCCTGGTGCAAACACACAGCAAATGCAAGGCCAGCAGATGCAAGCACCACATCCTGGTGCAAGCACACAGCAAATGCAAGGCCAGCAGATGCAGGCACCACAAGCTGGTGCAAGCACACAGCAAATGCAAGGCCAGCAGCAGATGCAAGCAACACAGCATGGCATGGCAAACACATACCAAATGATGCCAGGCCAACAGCAGGCACAGGCAACAGAGCCTGGGGGAAACACACACATGCAAGGCCCCCAACAGATGATGCAGGCAGCACCAGCTGGTGCAGGCATGCAAATGCAAGGCCAGCAGCAGATCCAGGCACCACAGCCTGGGGCAACCACACAAATGCAAGGCCAGCAGATGCAGGCACAGCCTGGGGCAACCACGCAAATGCAAGGCCAGCAGATGCAGGCACAGCCTGGGGCAAACACACAGCAAATGCAGGGCCAGCAGGAGGGACAAGCACCACAGCCTGCTGCAAACACACAGCAAATGCAAGGCCAGCAGCAGATCCAGGCACCACAGTGTGGGGTAACCACACCAATGCAAGGCCAGCAGCAGACCCAGGCAACACAGCCTGGGGCACACACACAAATGCAAGGCCAGCAGATGCAGGCACAGCCTGGGGCAAACACACAGCAAATGCATGGCCAGCAGGAGGGACAAGCACCACAGCCTGCTGCAAACACACAGCAAATGCAAGGCCAGCAGCAGATCCAGGCACCACAGTGTGGGGTAACCACACAAATGCAAGGCCAGCAGCAGGTGCAGGCAACACAGCCTGGGGCACACACACAAATGCAAGGCCAGCAGATGCAGGCACAGCCTGGGACAAACACCAGCCAGGGACAAGCACCACAGCCTGGTGCATATACACAGCAAATGCAGTGCCAGCAGCAGGGACAGGCAGCACAGCCTGAGGTAACCACACACATGCAAGGCCAGCAGCAGGCACAGGCAGCACAGCCTGGGGCAAACACACTGCAAATGCAAGGCCAGCAGCATGCACATGCAACACAGCCTGAGGTAACCACACACATGCAAGGCCAGCAGCAGGCACAGGCAGCACAGCCTGGTGCAAACACACAGCAAATGCAAGGCCAGCAGAAGGTCCAGGCAACACAGCCTGAAGCAAACACACAGCAAAGCCACCAGGCACAGGCAGCAAAGCCTGAATCCACTGAAGCAAACAAACAGCCAGAAGCAAACACACAGCAAGGCCACCAGGCACAGCCAGCAAAGCCAGCAAACACACATCAAGACCAGGCACAGGCAGCAAAGCCTGAATCCACTGGAGCAAACACACATCAAGACCAGGCACAGGCAGCAAAGCCTGAATCCACTGGAGCAAACACACAGCAAGGCCAGCAGGCACAGGCAGCACAGCCTGAATCCACTGGAGCAAACACACAGCAAGGCAAGCAGGCACAGGCAGCACAGCCTGAATCCACTGGAGCAAGCACACAGCAAGGCCAGCAGGCACAGGCAGCACAGCCTGAATCCACTGAAGCAAACACACAGCAAGGCCAGCAGGCACAGGCAGCACAGCCTGAACCCACTGGAGCAAACACACAGCAAGGCCAGCAGGCACAGGCAGCACAGCCTGAACCCACTGGAGCAAACACACAGCAAGGCCAGCAGGCACAGGCAGCACAGCCTGAACCCACTGGAGCAAACACACAGCAAGGCCAGCAGGCACAGGCAGCAAAGCCTGAACCCACTGGAGCAAACACACAGCAAGGCCAGCAGGCACAGGCAGCACAGCCTGGAGCACAGCAGCAAACACCACAGGCAGCCAGCTCAGAACAGCAGCTGCAAGTTGGTGACTTGGATTATGTGCTGCATTGGGCAGGACATGGGGGACTAAGCATTTGGGCCCCAAACCCCAAGTTGTTGAAAAGGGTTTGCCATGCCATGTCCTGTATTGATATATGTAACACATGGCTAAGTAAATTAGGTTCAAGTGGTTGTGAGTATTGGTGGAAACATATAATATATGTGCTCATGAAAAATTCAATGAACAATTCCCAGCAATGCACAGCCTGAGCCTAGGTAACATCATCAATGATGTAGTTGTCCAGGAGGCTTTGGCCAGAAGGAAAGCTGCTTTGGCACTATGGCTGCAAAGGGGTTTCCACTATGTTCCCTTTCTAACTGTGATACTTTTGCATGTGAAAATGCCAGTGGCTATTATTATGGCACCTTAAACTTAGGCCTTGAAAATTGCACACTAGCTTGATGCCAAAGGTTCCAAGTGCACCATGACTACTATGGCCATGTTACCTTAGACTTTGAAGATTGTAAATCAGCCATGTGTGCCACAGGTTGTTTTGCTGGGGTGGCTGCAATTTGTCTAAGGCTGCAGCCCAGGGCAATGCCAGACCAGGAGCCAAGGATACCATCCACATTGCTGACTGAACTGGCAGGGTGGAGTTGGGTGTGACCAGCTTGGGCCAATCAGTTAGTGCTACCAGCTGTTGGGATGAATATCTTTTTGCAAGTAGGCAATACTGTAAAATGGATGATCACCCTTGGGCATGCTACCTTAGTTGGGTCACCATACTTATGATTTATGGTTGTGGTTTCCACCAAACAATATTCATTGAGAAGCAAAATATTTCAACAAATATAGTATTGAGTGGGTAGTGTTTACTGTCACTTATGTTTATTCTGGTTGGCAAATAAGAAGGATGTTTGATGTGTTGACCCAAGGGGAACATCCATTTTCAGTATGGGATGTCAGGGTGTACCCAGTGAGACAAGCATAATAATAGTATCATCATCTCACACATGGCTTGGTAGCCTAGTAGCTTTTGGGGCCCCATCATTGCTTGGTGGCTAGGAAGAAGTGGCAGGCATTGAATAAAGAATGTGCCTGAGCAACTGTTGGAATTTAAAAAAAACATGGTGTGTTTTGCCATTTGGGCTTTCATCATTTGCTCAGGCAGTTGTAGAGCCAGTCCTTTCCACAATCCATTTGGCAGTGGCTTCTAGGGTGGAATCTTAGAAAAAGGTGCTGCTGGGTCTATTTGAAAGCTGCATATTTTGAATGGTGAGTAAGTGCCATGCAATATGTTTGAAGTGAATTTGAGAGCTGATGTCTGGCAGTGTGGATGTATAAGCCTTAGTCATTTAAGCTCTGGCTTTCAGACTGTGGGCTTTGGTTTTATCACCCAGTTTTAATTTGAAAGCTGGCTGGCTCAACTTGACCCTTTGAACAAACTTTGGGGGAACAATCACTGCAGTGACTCAGTGGCCTCAGTGAATCGCCTGGCTGAACCTTGCTTGCATTTTGGGGGTGGGCTGATTGGTGATCAGTAGAATTAAGATCACAAATTCATTGCAGAGGTTGTGTGCATTGCAGAGGTTGTTACAGTGGGGGTGTTGGTGATCTTAAATGGAATGTATCAGTCAAGAACATGATGGATGTATGGTTGATATATAACATAGGGTGTGCTAAGTAAGATCAAAAATAGGCAGTGCTGAGAGTGCTGGGCTTTTCTGAGTTTCACATTTGAATCAAAATGCAGCAGCAGTTACACAAAATAATGGCAAAGAATTCCACTAACACCAACAAAATGGTGATGGGTAATTGGAATTGTGAGCCCCAAAATTAGCCTTGTAAAAAAAAAAATGGGCAGAGCTCTGTTTAGTAGGACTTGAAAATGAGGTGGATCCAGAGCCTTTCCCCAAATTTAGCTTTTTTTTTAGCTTTTCTTAGCTTTTCTTAGCTTTCCTTAGCTTTGCTTAGCTTTCCTTAGCTTGTGCTAGCCCTGGGTGTTTGGGCCCAAATTTAGCCTGCTCAGGTGTATGTCTACTGGGCATCCCTATGGGAAGGGCAGTGGCAAGTGGCAGCTATACATGCCTATGCCCAGGGTCAAAGTGAAGGCCAAGGCTAAGGCTTCCCATGAGCCTGGGAGCAGCAGTGGCAGTGTCCACCAGAGAGCCCTTGATAGGAGGAATGGCCCAAGCCCCACTGGCCATGAGAGCAGTTGCAGTGATGACTCTTGTTGAGCCATGGCTCAAACAACTTGGGGTATTGAATGGTATTAATAGGTCACCTTTATGTGTACCAGCTAGTGCTAGCAGAAATCATGGATGGCCCACCTAATTGCATATTCACTGTTGTGTTTTTGTTTAAGTATTGCTGTTTGTCTTTGAACACTTTGCATGGTTTCCAGGTGTCAAATGCCTTCTTGCTTCAGGTCATGTCCTGGACCAGAATGAGCAGAAGTGGGACCTGGAGGGGGTGATGAGGCAGGTTGTTGCTGGCACCACCACCATTGAGGAGGATCAGTTGGGAATGGGCATCAGCTGGGAAATGTTGACCAGGGTTACTTGGATTGGTTCCAACAATGCCAAAGTAAAAGTAGCAATCACAACAGTCACACTAGTTCTCAGCACCAGGTGTAACTATATATATAATGGTAAGAATTCATTCATTGGGCTGCTGGGCTCTTAGGTGAAAAACCTGGAGGGGAAGCCCATCAACAAAGTGATTGTGCACCAAGCACTTGTCAAGAAGCTCAAGGAACAGGAGTGGGAACCAGGCCAAATGATTGGTGTCAGGACAGTGGATTCACAGCTAGCATTTGGCTTGGTGTGGGTGCAGTGTTATTAATTGACATGGCAAAGAGTTTTTTGTGCAGTGGCCATGGAATTTGTTTGCAGTTTACACTTGCAGACTGGTTGTTCAGTTTTGTTGGGCAGCTGGCTTCAGGAATGGGCCATTGCCAAGATGGAGTTGCTGGACATGAGGAAACAGATGAGGGATGCTGCCAATAATTTGGGTCAGGCAAGTAACTTTAACTGCAATTGCCTGCCAGTGAAACTAGGCTTCATTGATTCATGCACTTGGATGTTTCACATTCAGATTTGCAGGCCAGCCCATGACATGGCATTGGGTTATTGAAGTAAAAAACTGATTGGGTAGGGCTTCTTATTGCAGCAAGGGGTGCCACCACCTTATTGAGGACAGCCTTTATGCCATCAGGGTGCCCACATCGAAAAAAGCCAGTGTCTGGGGATGTGGAGGGGTGCACCATGGCTTTGAATTGCCCACTATGCACAACTTGCCTTCGATGCAAGAAGCTGCTTGGTGGTTGAAACAAATGGCAATGTCAAAATTACCCTTTTGTGTATACACCCATGTGAGCATGGCTTGAAGATATAACTTGGCTTGGCAAAGCCTCATTGCTAGTCCAAGTATGGGCACCAAGTGAACCTACTAAGGCTGTGCAAGGCACATAGGCCTGCTCCTGGTGAAGGCTGCACATGCTTGAAGGCTGGCTTGTGGGAAACCAGGCACAGCTTCAACCACTAGAGTATCTTGGATTTAGCAGCTGACCATGTCAAATTGGCACGCAGCTGCACCATGTCTAATTATGCTATTATGTTGATGATGTGATGATGTTGGTGATGTTGATGGTGATGTTGATGATGATGTTGTTGTTGATGATGATGATGATTCAGTCTGTGCTTGCATAGTTAGTCAGTGCATAGTATGGTTCAAATTTTGCAATGGCCCTCATAGTTGAGCAACTAGCCTTGCACCTCAAGGTTACAGGTTCTGACAACCAGGTCCTTGTGTTGTTCACCTTTGTATGCCATTACTTTTGCCCTCACTGTTACTGAGGGCCTGTGGTGGCACAAACTGGTGAGCAGAGTTTTGGCACTTGAATGGCAAGGCAGCACCTTGGCAGCAATGGTTGGGGCCAGTGGTGCACTGGCAGTTCCTCAATTGGCCTTTCAGACTCAGGCCTGGGCTCACATACATAATAGTTGCAAAAGATAGATAATGCACACATGAAAGAACCTTGAAAACACAATGGCCTGGACATGTTTATCATGTGTGTATGCACACATAGGCCATGTGACCAAAAGTATCATGGTACCCATCCAGTGGTTGCCACCCAGGGGTTGCCATCCAGGGGTGGTGCTGCAGGTGGTATCATATTATGGTTGGCAATGGTTATGATGAGTTGTGACCTTTGGCATCACTGCGCCTTGCATGCACTAACACCTTCCAGAGTCTCAGAGCTGCTTGTTAGCTAGGAGCTTTGGAAACCAACTGACCCTGACTTTGCATGGCATCCACTCCACTCATTTACCAATTTGCCAGAGCTGTATGAACTCAAAGCGCCTTGTCCCCATAATGTTGGGGTGCTCCAATGGCTGATGATGAAGAGGATGAGGATGAACAGCTTGTGGATGTTGGCCCCCAATTTGACCAAGGCTTAGAAAAGTTTCACTTACCATACAAGGTTGCCACTGTCCAAGAAGGATTCAACCAGAGAGCTTACTGGGACCAAGATGCCCAGGGTGAGCCAGAATGGCTTTGGGGCAGGGCCCATGACTACATGAAAATCCAGTTGGCACCCAGTAAGTTTTTGCTGAACAACAAAGACACTTTTGCCAGTGAATTTGAGGCATGTGAAGTTCCAGCCCAAGAATTTCATTTCAGGAAAAAAGCTGAAAAAGATGATAGAAAAAAGAACAACAGGTGGGTGGAACATACCATGGAAAGCAGGGGTTTCCTCATTGCACTGATGTGGTGCATGAAGAACAGGGCTTTAGCACTGGAGTCAAAGAAGAAGGCTTTGGCTTTGTTGAAAGGCTTGATTGCCAGCAGCTTGGCTTTTGCTGCAGCAGCAGGCCCTGTGGCTATGTCCTTGTCTGTGCCTGATGAGGGTGGCTTGATCCACCAGGCACTTTTGACTTTCAGTGGTCAAGGGATCACACATGAGTGGGCAGGGGTTGTGTCCAAGTATGGGCCTGCCACTGCACTATGGCACAAGCTGCATAAAGCCAATTGGCTGGGCTCCTGCCTGTGCGGCAGCTTGGGGGCAACAACCATGGGTGACATCATTTTCTTCTTTTGCTGTATCAGTGCCCATCCCTTGCTCAAAGTGTCTGGCCAAAATGTGCTGCAAGGCTTTGGGAGACTGGCCTTGAAGGGCTTCATTTGGCAAACAGGAGTGTGGCTGGCTGATTATGCCAGGCACCTGTGTACACTCAACATCCAGTCACTTCCATTGATGAGGTCCAAGTCTGGCAACATCAGGAAAACCCTTGATCCTGTGAACAGAATGATTTTGCTCCACAAATTGAGGAAAGAAAAAGTGCACAGAACGAGGGTGGCATCCACCCATGGGGAACTTGTGCCAGAGCAGTCTGCCATGATGAAATATGAGAGTTACATTGAGTGTGCCTTGTACCAGAAATCCATGCAAGAGACCTTTGGGGGCCAGAAACAGGTCAGTGTGGCCTGGGACCCAAGCAATTATGGTGGAAAGGATGTGCTGGTTTCAATCATCTACTCTTCTTCTTTGCGCAGAGCTGGCTATCTGATGAACCAGCAGTTGACCAAGGTTAGGGTTGGGGATGTCCATGAAAGTCTTCTTCCTCTTGTCAAGCAAAGGAAGTTGACAAGAATAGAAGGATACAATGAGCTGAGGGGCCTGTCCCACAGCTTGTCCCTCATTGGCTTAACCTTGATGGACTTTGCAGTGCCAGAAGGATTGATTCTGAAGCCACTGCTGAAGCAAGAGCTGCTCCTACCTCAGCCAAATGGAAGGCCCTTGGTCCATAACACTGTGACTCAGCTCACTTACCCAATGGTGCCTCCAGCACTGCAGCTCAGCCAGCTACCTTTGCTTGTATCCATAAGTGACCAAGGACCAGTGAATGTCCCTGCTTTAAACTATTTGATGTACTCAGAGGAATCATTGCTGGTCACTTCCCAATGGGACTGCTACCACAGGACATGGAATGACCTGAAACTGGCAGGCAAAAGAGCAGCTGGTGGAGTTTGGAAGACCATCCTGAGGCTTTCACTTCTCTTTAATGTAAACTATGGCCCCTATGGGTCAGGTGGCTGGTTTGCAAAGAAGAGAAGTTGCCTGGAAGAATTTCTGCTCCAGAACAACTCTGACTCCTATTGTTTTGCCAACTATGCTTCTGTGATTGCCAGAGAAAGACGAATCAGGGAACCTCAGCATGAACAAGACTGTGAGGCCTTGTTTGAAACATTGAAGCACCTTCAGAACTTCAATACCAAAGGCCCTTTAGTGAAGCTCATGCGCTGGTTTAGCTGGTTCGAGACAGCATGCTGGTGGGAGGGAGAACATTTTGCTACAAGAATGATTTTGGAAGAAATGGGAGCAAAAACTGAAGGAAAAGAAGAAGCAGCAGAACTTCCAAATGAAGAAGACCCCCAGCAAGAGTTGAGGGAATTGAAGAAAAAACAAGGGACTTGGAAGCTTGCCCCTCAAATGGTGACCAACACCACAATGTGTGTCAAAGACATTGTGCTCACAGTGGGCAAAGCTGCCTGGAAGCATCATGCTGCCAGGGCCAGGGAAGTGACCAGTGCTGCTGATGTGCTCCTCTTCAATATCCAAGCTGCTGGTCACAAGGGTTGGGCTGAAGAGCTTGTTTCCATGGTACATGACAGCCTATGGAACCAGGAGCTCTTGCTGCACTTGCAGGAGGACTACTGCTTGCATGAGCAAGCTTTGGAGTGGCACATGGACTTCTTTGACAAACTCCTGGAAACCAGGTCTATGAGCCTCACTTCCTTCCACACACTGCCACCCAACAGGTACCACCATTCTCTGTCCAGAGAAAGGGTGGTTGCACAAGCAGCCCATGATATGGCCATGCAGGACTTCCAGGCTTTGCTTACTGCAGGGGAGGCTGATGTGGAAAGCCCCAATCTGAAAGTTGAAGCTTTGGCTTTGATGGCTTGGACCAAGAACCCTGTTTGCAGAGCCCTCTACCTGTCCTACCTGGAAGATGATTGCAAGAGATTGGTGGGTACTCCCCAAGCAGCAGGCCCAGCTTTGCAAAGGGTCATGGCTGAAACATTGGGTGATTCCAAGATGGTGGAGAATGCACACCAATTTGGAAAAGACTTGCTCAGAAGCTCCAGGCACAAGACCTTTGGGAATGTCAGGATCTGGTCCAATACATTGAACAGCCAAGCTTTGGAAAGGAGAGGCAGCCCTGTGGTCACTTTTCACAAATTTGAAAAGGCTACTGGCCCTTTGCCACCACAGGATGAAAGAGTCCACCTTGCCAAATCTTTGAAAGCTACCCAGCACCACTTGCCCAAAGCCATCCAGAACCTCATGGTGCCCATAAGTGGCAAAAACCGATGGCCAAGCCCAAATCCAGCTAGTTTGTTTGCTTCTGTGGCTGCCACTGAGTGGGTCTTCAAATTTTTTGGAGAAGGTAGAGAAGTGGACCCAGGGACAACTGCAAATGATGCCTGGCTTTCCATTTTGGCACAGCCTGGCCACTTCCTGGTGCAACAATCCCAGCACACATTATGGAAAGTCATGGCAAGGGCAGAGTATGGCTTCCTTGCCTGGCAGGCTCACATTGAAGTCAGTGATGGGCAAAGAATTTATCTGCTGGAAGCAAACCCCAGCTGCATACAGTGGAGGCACATTGTGGACCTCAGTGATTGGCTGCAGGTTCCTGTCAAGCCCACTATGATGTATGAGAATGTGGGACCTTTGGGTTGGGTGGCATCTGGCAACCCCTTGCCATTGGATGTGGCAGTGGTGCAAGCTGCCATCTCTTTGACTGTCAAGCAGATGAGGTCACTGCTCAAGCTGTACAATGTGAAAGTGGCTGGCAATGCATCCAGAGCAACTGTAGAGAAGATGCTTGTGGAGACAGTGCTGCAAGATGAGGCAATGAGGCAAGAAGCTTTCAAAAAATTCAAGGCAAAGACCAAAACCAAGGATGATGATGATGACTTGGACTCTGAGCTGAGTGAGGTCATCTCTGAGCTTGCACAGGATGAGTTCAATCAGCAGGACTTGAAGGAGTACAAGCAGAAGAAGAAGGTGACCAGGTTGAAAAGGAAGTTGTCTTCCAAAGAA